TTTATTCTTAGTAGTCTTCTTAAGTTTATTTAAATATCTCTCAAAAGAATACATTCATCTATATTGAATAGGTCCACCGACTATAGCCTCATATTATAAATGCACTAGTAGATGCTCCACAGAGTCAAAAATTCTAGGAGGAAATATTTTCTCAAGTTGACACAGAATGAAAGAAATTTGCTACTCTCTCTACATTTAATTTAGGAGAGCATAAATGTTTGAAGAAGACACTTAGCTCGATCAAGGGCTTTAAAATTTGATATTGCAGATAACTAAAAGCAGTTTGTAATAGATATTGCATGAAGATATGATAATCATGACTTTTCAATCCAAATAATCTCCCTGATCTTATGTCTACACACCTACTTAGATTTAAAGAATATCCATCAGGTTCCTGTAGGGTCTTTACCCATTCACAAATTGCTCATCTTTGTCCTAAATTTAATGTGAATGGAGCTTTTGGTTTGAGAAGTTTTTCACATCCACCATCCTTTAATTCTAATACTTTCCTCTTACAAATCTCCTTTAAGCCCATCCATGCTTTTATATTATCTTTAGATTTATTTTTGATGTCCATTACTTTATTAAAAATATTATCAAAAATATTTTTCTCTACATGCATGACATCTAAATTATGTCTAATAAAGTTTGTTCTCCAATATGGCAATGACCAAAAGTACTTTTCTTGGTCCAATTATGGTTGACACCATATCCTGGCAATCTGCACTCAGCTAATATTAGAGAATCCATTATTATGGGCATGAACATTACTCTTTCAAATATTTCTTCACTATTTAATCTTGAAGGAGGTTGAAACATCACCATTTTATTTTTAATAAAGGCATCTTTATTTCGCCTAAAAAGATGACTTGGATGTAAAAACATGCTATGACAATATGAACATGCTAAACTGAATGATTTTGTATGTTTCATACAATATGAACAAGCTAACTTGCCAGAAGTTTTCCAACCTGAGAGCATACCATATGCAGAAAACTCACCAATTGTCCAAAGTAATGCTGCTCTCATTATGAAGTTCTATTTGATAGAGATATTATATGTACTTACTCCCACTTCCCATAATAAACTTAAATCATTAATTAATAGTTATAAGAATACATCAATCTTTATTTTTAGATTATGTGGCCCTGGAATGATAGGTGTCAGAAACATATAATGAGTAGTCATACACAACTCTGGAGGAAGATTGTAAGGGGTGAGTATCACGGGCCAACATGAGTAAGGTGAAGCAGACTAACTGAATAGAGTAAAATCATCTATGCATAAACCTAATCTTACATTTCTTAGTTTTGCCGTGAATGTGGGATATATACGATCAAAGTGACTCCAAGCCTATGATTCTAATGGATGTGTAATAAATCCTTCTTGCAAAATGTGATCATTATGCCATCTCATATGTGCAGCAAATCTCATGGATGCATATAACCGCTGTAGTCTAAGAATTAGTGGTAAGTAAAACATCTTACTAATAGGTGCTTCCTTCAGCTTTATTTTATTTTCATATTTTGGTTTAAATCTTGGTGCATTGCAATGACGGCATGTAATCTCTAATAAATCATCTTTAAAGTATAACATGCATCCATTGACACAACAATCTATTTTTGTGTATGTCAAATCAAGTTTGAAAACTAACTTCTTTATCCAATATAGATCTGTTGTAATTATATTATCTGTTGGGTTGATTTTCTTAAGCAGCCCAATGAATTGATTAAAATATTCATGAGCAATATTATATTATGCCTAGATGCTTAACATCTTCAGAGCAATATATAACTCTGAGTGAGTGGTGCACCCCTTCTATATTAGTTGTTGGACAGCATGCAATAAATTATAAAAATTTTGTACCTCCCTGATTTGGTAACTCTTTTGTATATTATTCACATTATATTCCAGTTGCATCAATAACTAATTCCTTAAGATTTGGACGAATATTTTCATCATCAGCTATATTACTACTGATAGATGGACCATATTGAGAATCCAAATGTGGCTCGTACTCACCATGAGAAGTCCAATACCAATTTTATGGCATGAACCCTCTATGATACAGATCAATAATTACATCATCTGGTCTTTAGGTGCAATAGAGTTTTATGTTTAGAATATGGACATCAAAACATTCTATGTGATATGAAGCTGGGTAGTTGTTTCGCTATCTGAATGAAAATGTTCACCCCATTAATGAATTTATCTGTTAATATCTTTCGTCCTTACGCCAATCGGTTATTCATCCAACTTTTTTTATTTCTAATATCCATAACCTTCATATAATATAGAGTAGATAATTAATGGATTATAATGATTTTATGACAATGGTCATATAAAGATTATTGACAGACGTAAATCGAGTAATGGATGTTAGATAATGTAAGTAAGGAGATGATAATAGTTGGCAACTTGACAACTTGACTACGATCCTTCCGATTTTCATCGCCCGTCTACTCTCCTTCTAACCACAAACGCTTAATTATGTTTTTTCTATAATTATAAGACATTTTCTTCACCGTTATAAATATTTTTGGAATTTCTAAAATGTTTTTCTTCTAATCTTATCTTCTAATGGAGCTACTCCTGTTGATACTTGATCAATATGAATTAAGTTGTTAAACCTACGCTTATGTCCCAGCGGCTAACCAAAAGGGGAGGGGGTGAATTGGTAATTAAAAAATTTTATCCCTCTTCAAAATTTAGAACCAATAAAATTAAATTTAGTGAATTTTATAGAAAACGTTTTTCAACCACAAGTTAGAAATAGTAAAACAAAAATAAAAAGCAGCGGAAAAAGAAAAGAAATGAGATTTATAGTGGTTCGATCAAATACGACCTACATCCACTCTTCGGAGGCACCGTCCGAGTATTGCACCAATACCACTAGTGACTCTCCTTTTGCACCCACAGCAAGGCGGATAAGCCTTTACAAAACTCTCTTCCACCACTACCCGGTATGGCAGAGAACCGTCATCCTTTTACACTCTTCCCAGTGTTGGCAGAGAATCTTTCATCCTTTCACACTCTCCCAGTGTAGGCAGAGAGCCCTTCATCCTTTCACACCCTCCTAGTATGGACAGAGAACCCTTTAGCTGTTCACACTCTCCAAGTGTGGGCAGAGAACCATTCGGATATTCACACTCTCCAAGTGTCGGCAGAGAACCATTCGGATATTCACACTCTCCAAGTGTCGGCAGAGAACCGGATTTCCTTGACAGATCTTCTTCACAAGAAATCTAGAAGGAAGAGAGAAAAGAGTGAAGTAATCAAAAACTAAAAGTAGAGACTCTTACCTTTGAGTACCAAGTGAAACATTCACACTCCAGTAGTAAGAATTCTTCTTAAAACACTCTCTCACACTCTCTCCTTGACTCTCCTTTCAATTGGCATGAAGATCAGTAGGCAAAAAGATTAAGTGGTAGTTTATATTGGACTTTATATAGGAAAGACACAAAAAAGCGTTCAAAAACTGCTAAAATTCAAGTATGTCAGCAGTTGATCGTCTCGTACGATTGTGGATCGTCCCGGACGATGTTACTTAATTCAGTTGGAAACGAAACAAATGTATATTGGTACGGACTGACTTCGTACAAGTTAATCGTCCCGTACAAACAAGGTTCGTCTGGTACGAGCGGTTATACCATAGGTCGGTTCTAAAATCTGTATGAAGTCACGAAATTTTTAAGAGTCGGTTCGCTTCGTCCTGGGATGAATATGAGTTCATATGGACGAAATTTTTATAGAGGACATTTCATCCTAGGATGAATTGGCTGGTTCTACCCCAGCATAAGATATGATCAAATTATTTTGAGACAATCTTAAGTTAAGGCCAAATAGCCTCATGATTGAAGCGTTAGTAGGTGTGTATGAAAGTATTACAAAACAAAATTAATATATCATTTAAAAAATTAGTTTACAAGAATTATATAATCTACTCTTTATTTTTTAAAAATTGTTAGAGCATACTAAAAAGTGCATATAAAAACTTCTCAAATGGGTAAGAATAATATATATCATCAAATATTATTGTAGTCTTAAATATATATATATGTCATTAAGAAATTTATTTTTGAACAAATACTTCATGATCAAGGGAATTAGTATGAGTCATCCGATAGACCACTTTGAATTTATCATAGATCTTATCTATATTTACGGAGCATGTCACTATCAAAATTTATAAATAGATCCCCTATTCTCACATGAAGAGTGACTTGTATTTTTTGAAACTTAGACCCTAGGCTAGAGACTCAAAAGAGTTTTAGGGCTTGAAGCATCCTTGAGATCCACCTCAACACCACTTTAGACAAACCCTTGCCACCAGATCGTTGTTGCTGGACCTCTACCTAAACATCATCATCGAACCTCGGTCCGGTGGCCATCTCTGCATCTTTCTCCGATCCTATGGACTATGGTCTCTCCGACGTCCTACGTTGTCCACAGACTATAGTCCTCTAACCACTGTCGATCGCCAACATGGTCACTCTGACTTCCGTTGTCTGCTGACTATGGTCCTATCGACTTCCGTTGTCTGTCTACGATGTTCCAACTGACCAAATGAACATGTCAATATTCTCTTGAGAACAGCTCTTATGCCTTTGAATTCTTCTAAGTTGAACTATTTAATGTGCTCTATATGATTTGCCAATGCCTTTCTGCAAGGAAGAGCATCATTTGAAATCAACAACAAATACTAATGAATTTATTTCAACTGGGTAAAACCTCGGTTTTTTCTCCTTTTCAGAAATTTTCATGTAAAAATTATAGTATCTCTAATAACTCTTGCACCACTTTCTCTATAGGTGTATTAGATTTTTATACAAAATTTGAATGTTAAACTCTATATTTTTCTATTGCTGTGAATGTTAAGGGCTCAACAAAGGTAAAATTCATTGGAATATTCAGATGCTATTATTTTTAATGCCTACAATAATTATGTGACTAACGTAAGGACGAGACAGTCTGTGCTACACTGTCATACACCGAAACTCGCAATGTACGATACGAATAAGGATGACCGTTCAATCTTATTCTGATAAAGACATGAATAGGATTCGGATCATTTCCAACAGATTTACCCTCATCGCATCCGAATCCATATGAGATACAGCAGCTAGAGAGAAAGAGAGAGCTGAAAATGGAGGAACAAATGAGCGAGTTGAGAAGAGTTTGTGTTACTGGAGCAGGAGGTTTTATTGGTTCCTGGCTTGTGAAGCTTCTCCTCTCAGAGGGCTACAAGGTTCATGGCACCGTCAGAGATCCAAGTACTCTTCCTGCTTATCTCTTCCTTTTTCTATCTCATGATCTCTTCTCAGCCTTGAAAGCTGAAAGGTTATCTATGTGCTTCTGAAAAATATTTATGTTAGGATCTCTTTCTATTTTTTTTATTATTTTTTTTATTTTATTTATTTTATTTATTTTATTTTTTTTTTTATTTTTGTTAGGATCTCTTTCTATGTTTTCATTGACAGGTATTTCAAAATTATTATATTACATCCTATTGGAATAGCAATAAATTCGTCAAACGTAAGATAAGTTGAAAATAAGTAAAGATAAAATATTATTTTTTTCTTAAATAATTATTAAAAAAATCATCCTAAAAAAATCTTAATCATCGAGAAGATGGATTATGCACCACAGAAGCACCATCAAACAAGATAAGATCAGTCTTTTTCATTTGCAATAATTAAATAAAATAATTTGTGTTGAAATAAATTATAATATATAAAAAAACCTATTTATTAAATTATAATAATGTAAATTATTAAAATGTTAACATATTTTGCTGTCATAAATTCTTTTTTTTTTTTTCATAATTGAAAGTTTGACATCTTATAAAGATTTTTTAATCTATGTAATACTAAACTTTCGTACGCTAAAATTTGTCTTCTCTGACTTGTTTATATACTTCTACCATTTCAAAATTCCCTTTTAAGATCCAAGATATTAAGGGGTTGATGGATGTTAGTATGAACTATTTATTTTCTTAAATCTTTTTTTCTTATAGAAATTTGTCTTTCATAAATTTTGACAAAGAAACTCATTTTTTTAAATTATTTATGATGATTTTATTAATTCAATGCTATACAAACCACTGAAAGAAATTTTAGGCCATACATTTATTTCTTAATTTAGTAAGATTTGATATTCAATTGAAAGCATTGAACAAGAAATTAATTCAAAAAGAATTTTTTTTAAAAATGACCACATCTAAAAGTCGACTATAATACTACATACAAAAGTCTGAAATCAAGCTATAAGAAGAAAAGAAATAACTTCAATTAAAAATTTTGAAGGTAGAATAACTCTTTACACTTTGAATTCAAACAATAAGAATTATAAGCAACTATTATAATTCATTTTGCTTAAACATATTAATAATTATGTTTATTTTTTAAAACATAAAAATAAGAATCATAAATGAGTAGAATCACATTCTATTTTTTTTAAGTAGTATAAATGATTATGCTTTATAATCTTTATTAAAAAAATTGAGATAAAAAGTTGATAAACAATATTTATTAGATGATTGCATTAGCTATTAGAAAATGAATATTATTTTTGGTATGAAGTAAAGGATTTATGCTGAGAAAATAACTTGTTAAAATCTTCTCTCTCTAGACACACTCTCTCTCTCTCTCTGTCTCTTATTTAAAAGTGTATATTATTTTGATAAACATTATGTATTGTCTAAGGTAATGAAAAGAACGCCCATTTGAAGAAGTTGGATCGGGCTACAAAGAATCTGCAACTCTTTAAGGCTGACTTGCTTGATTACAATGCTATTGTGGAAGCCATTTCTGGTTGTGAAGGAGTATTTCATGTTGCTAGTCCTGTTATTTTAAGTGGAGCTTCAAATCCAGAGGTAGTAATTTAGAGTTAGATTTATATTATATCAATTCTAGTAATTCTATGAATTTGTAGGCCAAATGACAAAATTTTTAACAAAAATTCTACCTCAGGAAGAAATAATAAGCCCAGCTCTATTGGGGACTAAAAACGTACTCAAAGCATGCTCAGAGACAAGTGTGAAACGAGTTGTGGTTGTTTCTTCTGCTGCTGCGATAATGTTTAATCCAGATTGGGCACAAGGAACTATAATGGACGAAAGCTGTTGGTCAAATGAGGAGTTTTGTAGGTCGACTGAGGTAATTTGTTCTCAATTTTTTAAAATTTGGATATGATGAGTGATGCTGCGCATCATAGTTAACTAATAACTATAGCTTATTTTACTCTAATTTACTCTTCCTTAGTTTACCGTTATCTGATACTTACTCCACTATCTTAGTTGCTCTTTCAGGCAATATAGTATAGAATAGCCCTTGCTGTTTTAACCATTTTCAACATGAGGAAAACCTCATGACATTATGCGTTTTATCTATCCTTTGTGAGGAGGAATGACACCTTTGGAAATATCATATTACAGAAGGTTTGTAGGTTCTCCATTTTGTATTTCCCTGCTCTAACATGCTTTTCCATAGTATATCACATCAGAAGGCGAGTTCCCATCTTACAGGAGTTCTTCGATTCAAAAGATGAGGGTGGAGACTATGTTTCGGATGTTTTCCACGAGTCGGATGGCGATAATATGGCACTGCAGTATCCGTGACCCATGGCTCACGACCGACAACGGCCTGGGTTCTGGGTGAAGCATGATATATCTTTCTTTGAAGGGAGATTACACAATGAGGACTATCTTGATTGGGAGAGGGCTGTGGAGAATTTCTTTGAATACATGGATATAGAGCCCAATAAGCAAGTCAAATACGTTGCTAGTAGGGTGTGCGGGGGCGCCAGTGCATGGTGGTCACAGGTGCTGCAATCTAGAAGAAGGGAAGGTTGAGGTGGAGTGCATAGATGGGCACACATGAAACAGATATTACGGACACACTTCCTCCCTACTGATTACGAATGATAGCTTTATATGAAAGACCAACAATGCTCATATATAGAGTGGTCGTTCTATGAGCGAGTATACAAAAAAATTCTATAGGTTATGTGCTAGAAATGATCTTAACGAGACCTCCAACTAGCTAGTGGCCCGTTTTGTAGGTGAGATGAAGGACGGCATCTGGGACAAGCTAGAGCTGAACTCCATATGGTCGTTGTCAGAGGGAGTAAACTTTGTACTTAAAGTAGAGATGCAATTGGAAAGACGCCCCTTCCAAGATCACGACATTTATGCTACTAAACAAACACCTCTGGTCACCAAAAAAACTCAAGTAAAGCCTAAAGGTAATCCACCCATGAGCTCTATCCAGCCAAGTCCCGAGCCTAGATTCTAGCCAAAAAATTGTTGCACCAATACAAGTCATCTATTGTTTTCAGTGTTTCCAAGTGGGGCATAAGTTCAATGTGTGCCCCAATCATCAACAATTTAAACTATTGAATGTATAAGGAGAAGAAGACAATGGTAACCAGGAAGAAGATCAAATAACATATGTCAAAGGCTTGGAAGGCGATAAGGGAGATCCACTTATCCGTGTCCTAGAGAATCTACTACTAGCGTCACGAAAGCCAAACAACTCTCAATGCCATAGCATTTTTCGAACACGTTGCACCATTAATAGCAAGGTTTGCAACTTTCTTATTGATAGCGGAAGTACTAAAAATATAGTATCGCATGATGTGGTACAAGCCCTCCACCTTAAAACAACCAAGCACCACAATCGTACAAATTAAGCTGGGTGAAGAAGGGAATAGACATTGTAGTGCGAAATTATATTCTCTATAGGGAAACATTACACTTGCGAAGTACTTTGTGACATGTTGGATATGAATGTTTGCCACCTGATTTTGGGTTGGCCTTGGCAATTTGATATCGGTGCTATTTATAATGGAAGAGTCAACACCTACTCCTTTGAATGGAAGGGAAAGCGGTTGAGATTGATTTATCAACTAGAGGACCACCAAGCGTAGAACCTTGAAACCAAAGCATCCATGTACCTTTTCTATGGTACTACTCTCTTATCCTCTTGGAAATAACATTCACTAATGTTTGCACTATTGATTCAGGAACAAGATGCCGCAAATCAGATGGATGACCCGGATGACAAGATTAAAGAGCTATTGGACCAGTTCCAAGAAGTGTTAACTGAAGCTCTACCGTCTACGCTCCCACCTCTGTGAGCATTACAACACCAAATTGACTTCCACGTAGGAGTAATGCTTCCCAATCAACCACATTATAGAATGAGTCTGAAAGTGCATCAAATATTGCAAAAATTAGTGTAGGAATTGTTAGAGAAGAAGTTCATCTAGCCAAACATCAGTCCATGCACCATCCCGGCATTGCTTGTACCAAAAAAAAAGGGAGTTGGGGCATGTGTATCGATAGTTACACTATTAACAAGATTATTGTGAAGTTCTGGCTCCCTGTCCCGAGAGTTGAGGAATTGTTGGAAAAACTATCTAGTGCCACTAAATTCTCAAAATTGAATCTCCGAAGTGGTTCATCAAATTAGGATCTGCCTGGTGACGAGTGAAAGACTTCCTTCAAGACCTGTTATGGCCTTTATGAATGGAAGGTAATGTCATTCAACCTGTGTAGTGCACCCTCAATATTCATGAGATTGATGACAGAAGTCCTCAAACCATTTTTCAACAAATTTTGTGTTGCCTATTTCGATGATATTCATGTTTCTAGCGAATCACCGATTGATCACATTGCTCACTTATCAAGCATTTTGGGGGCTTTGAGACAAAATCAGCTCCTTCTCAATCCTTCTAAGTGTGAGTATATTATATCAAAACTATAATTCTTGGGCTTTATACTCTCATCGAAGGGGATTTACAAGGATCCGCACAAAATCTTCACTATTACTAGCTGGCTAGTTGTACATTCCTTCTTCAAACTACGCAGTTTTCACGGTCTCGCAAACTACTATCGTCGATTCATCTAGGGGTTCAACATGCTCATGGAACCAATCACAAACTGTTTTATAATTTTAATAATTTTAGTGGACTAAAGAACAACAACAAAGTTTTGAAGTAGTCAAAATAGCTCTGACCACATCACCTATGTTGTCCTTGCCAAACTTTTAAAAGCCTTTCCATGTGGATACAGATGCATCGTCCATAGGCATTGGTGCTGTCTTGAGTCAAGATGGAAGGCAGTAGAATTCTTCAGTGAAAAATTAAGCCCAACGAGACAAACATGGACTTTCTATGAACAGGAATTGTATGTAATAGTCAGGGTGTTGAAATAGTGGGAACACTATCTGTTAAACAAGGATTTCATATTGTGTAGTGATCGCAAGGCTTTGTAATACATTAACAACCAGAAACGTATAAATAGAATGCAGGATCACTAGCTGTTATATCTCTAATGGTTTTCATTCATTCTAAAGCACAAGATGGGCTATCAGAACATCATGGAGAATGATCTAAGCTGCCCCTGCTCTCAACTGAAACTAAGTCTCCTCACATAGTTATGAACAGAGCTTACTAGACTCGAGTGTCTGAAAGAACTTTATGCTAGCGTCACTGACTTTGGCACTATATGGAAGGATTGCCAGAATAATTATTCTGCTCTAGAATTCACCATAAGACACTGCTCCCTGTTCGAACACAACCAATTGTGCATTCCAGACTACTCCTGGAGGTCTCAGTTGATCAAGGAGATCTAATGTTGAGGACTATTCACACATGTGGGTAAGAAGAATACAGTAGCACATATCTTATCGAGGTTTTACTGGCTTCGTCTCCAAAGGGATTTAATGAGGTTTTTCTAACGGTGCCTTGTTTGTCAAAGTTATAAGGGCGGCAGAAAAAATCAAGGATTATATATTCCCTTACCAGTACCAAAAACTATTTGGGAAGATTTAAGCTTTAATTTTGTGCTCGGGCTGCCTCGCTCTCGACGGGGAAATGATTTAATCCTGGTCATCGTTGACAGATCCTCTAAGATGGCTCATTTTATTGTTTGTAAGAAGACCTTTGATGCACTTAATGTGGCTCGCCTCTTCTTCACTGAAATTGTATACCTCCATGGTATTCCCTACCGTCTTACATTGGATAGGGATGTGATGTTTATCAGTTACTTCTGGAAAGAGTTATGGAAGCGCCTGCATACTGAAATTAAGCTCAACTCGGCCTATCATTCACAAATGGACAACCAGACAGAAGTGTTAAATCACACTCTCGATAATATGCTCCGGTGTTTAGTTCCACCCGAAATGTGGGATGAGCTCTTGGGGCAAGCTAAATTTGCATATAATAGCATGTCATATTGTTTCATGGGGAAGTTTTCCTTAAGTATTATTTACACTAAACCGCCCAATCACACAATTGACATTTTTGTATTGCCAAAATGCCACAGTCGAGCTTTCAGTACAATGGAAGATTAGTTTTTAACCATGCTCCAGGACGTCTACCAAAAGCTTATTGACTCCAATGCTAAACATAAACAGACCATGGACCAACATTGTCATGCCAAGATTTTTTAGCTAAGAGATCTGGTGATAGTTTGACTACGTCTCGAGCACTTTACACCAAGAACCTACCACAAATTGAGTCGCCAGAAGATTGAGCCCATAACAATTCTCAAACAAATCAATGATAATGCTTATGTTGTGGACTTACCTGCAGAATTTAACACCTCATATACCTTCAATGTGGCAGATATTTCCACATTGTATAAGTGATATCTTATATTATAACCAAATTGTTATGTTTAACATATTAATAATAGCTATATTTCAACATCATACTCCTACGACAAGCCTGTTTATTATTATTTTTAAATTTTATTAAGAAAGATTAACAATTTAATATGATAATTAATCCTTCAATTCTATGATTCTGTCATGTTCCTGAGATCACATCGCTTAATTAGTTTATTTCATGAGATGTTAATGGAGATTCCAATCTAGTTGGTGTGGGGCAGACCGCGAGAGATCTCATAATCACGAAAAAGAAGCACTGGCTGATGTAAAACAAGAATGTAATGTGATTACTATTACAAATACAATTGTTTACTTTCGTTTAGAGGGTTCTTCACGTTTTATAGACAGGGATATCAAACAGACAATATACAATTTTGAGATATTTGCTTAGTCAATTTTCTCTTAGTAAGACCAAAAAAAAAAGTGTAATCCTATTATGGGCATATCTATAATTATACTTATTTCTAACCATAATTCACAGACAATAATTTATACAATAATAAATGTCTAGTTGAGAAGTATATAATATTTATATCTTGTTGATTTTGATATATTTCTAAATTATGGAGACCGTTAGTTGGAAAGCATTTAATGGCTGATTATTGCATTGATTTGGAACCTGATTGCTACCAAAATTAGGAGATAGATTTAATTTGCATTGATTGGAAAATCTAATTGGAATGATTAGATCTTCATTAATTAAATTTTCCTTATTTTGTTTTTTTTTTTAAATTGGGCCTATGGGCTAATGTATGATGTAGGAGAGCAACTGAGAGCATATTGTAACTTGTTTCTCCAAATTATAGTGAAATTATCCCCTCCCGTGGACATAGTCATCTTTACTGAATCACATAAATCGTTGTATTCTATATTAATTGTGCTTTGATTTTGCTTTTGTTTCCGCTGTTTTCACAACAATTGGTATCAGAATCGAATTTCGATG